AACAAAATAAACAAGATTCGCCTTGGCTTAAGAGATCACTAAACAATTAATTATTCAATTTTATTCTTATTTAACGCAAGATACTATGTGGAATTGATTAATTAGAAATCTGTTTAAAGTGATCAATCAACACTAATTAATTAATTAAAGTTATTTTAAACAATAAAAATAAAGGTGATTGATCTAAGTGCTCGGGAATTTACCACTTCTCTTTACTAGGTTTTCGTTTAGAACACTTATGGACTTCTTCTTGTTCGAGAACCTCCACCGTGGTAACAAATATTAAAGGGGGTTAGTGCTTAAGACAAGAGGGTTTGGTAGCACACAAGTTCACAAGATTTCTGCCAGCGTTTTAGGTTAAATTCTATCTTTTTGTGCCTCGTATTAAGCCCCTATTTATAGGGAATGGGTACGATTAGGGTTTTGAACATTCTAGTGCATTAGGTGTCGCGCGCATCTGAATAGGGCAGCCCAGCGCAAAGTGAATTAGTTGCGCTGCTCAGGCAGCGCGACTGTTTGTCTTTCGCACGATATTATGGTAAGATTCGATTTCATATTTTTATTAAATTCTGAACTTCCGCAAGCGCATCACTAGCAGTTGCACTGGGCGTTGCACGCAACCTAGTGCGTTGCGCATGCCAGACCTGCGTGACTCATTGAGATGCTCGCGAATTTATTTGCGACAACATTAATTTTAACCTAGGCGCCTCTAAATCCATCATTTTTAAGGTTTAAGCTTTGGCTTAAGCCTAATTATTATTGGGCTTAGTTGATTGGACCTTAATGCTGTGGTTTTGGGTTAGGCTAGCTTATTTTTATGTTCATGCAATTCAATCAGTTATCCATAAGTGTTCCTCATGGGAATATTTCAAGCATCCCACACTTGAGCCCCACTGTGATCATACACTTAAGCATGGTCCCGTCATTCCATAAGCAATGCCTGAGTGACGCGTGTCACTGAGCCTAAAAGGCCTTTGGGCATCTCTTAGGGTGACACGTGTCGCCCTCTTAATGGTCCATGATGGATCATCAATCATCTCAGAACAGGGGAATGCCTGTCTACCACGTGTCACCATCTCAAAGGTCCATATGGCACCCCTTCTAATGACACGTGGCGGCTTCCGATTGGGCCACCTGGCCGGGTATAAAAATACCCAAATCAACTTGTACGAGGGGTGTACTACTTTTTGAAACTTTCATTTCTATTGCATTTGTTTCACCTAAAGTATATGTTCCATTGGTCTGTAGAGTCATTTAATAAATTACTTGAACTTCTAATTAATGCATTTCCCATTGTTAAGGAGTTTCCATCGTTCTATTATGAAGGCATGAAGATAATAAATGATTTAGGGTTAGGATATGAGAAAATACATGCATGTCCAAATAATTGCATGTTATATTGGGGCGAATTTGCAAATAAAAGTGAGTGTCATACATTCCATACATCAAGGTGGAAAAGTGTGAAAGGAAAGGAGGGTGATGTAAAAGAAAAAGGAAAAGAATCATGTAAGAAAGGCGAGGCAGCTAAAGTAATGCGGTACTTTCCCCTTATCCCTAGATTAAAGAGGCTATACATGTCATCTAAAACTGCAGAGGACATGAGATGGTACTTTAATCGTAAGGATGATAAGATTCTACGACACCCTATTGATGGAGAGGCCTGGAAAAAATTTGATGAAAAATATACAGAGTTTGTCGTTGATCCTCGCGGTGTTAGATTAGGCCTAGCGAGTGATGGTTTTAATCCATAGTCGGTGGTCCTCCTTCCTTATAATTTACTATAATGGATTTGCATGAAACCATCATCCTCTATTCTTTCTATAATTATTCCTGGTAAATTTGGTCCCGGTATGGATATTGATGTGTACTTGCAACCACTAATCTATGAATTGAAATTATTGTGGGAAGGTGTTGATGCTTTTGATTCTTATAGTGGAAGCAACTTCAAACTGTGAGCAGCCCTACACTCTACTATTAATGACTTTCCTGCTTATGCTATGTTGTCAGGTTAGAGTATGAATGGCTACAAAGCTTGTCCTTCTTGCACTCATTCTACTTATTCAGCTAGATTTGGTGGCAAAATTATCTACCTTGGGTATCGAAAATGGTTGCCTATTGATCACCCATATCGTTCACAAGATAATTTGTTTGATGGGAAAGAAGAATATGGTATTGCTTCAATTCGTACCAGCGGGACCAAAGTTTTGAAGCAACAAGAAGGGGTAAAGTATGTATATGGGAAGACAAAAAAAAGTTCCTAATAAAAAGAGGGAAAAAAAGCTGCTAATAAACTTGATGATGATTGCGATCCCGATGGTGATGATGTTCTTTGGAAAAAGAAAAGTACATTTTTTGAATTAGAGTATTGGGAGCATAATCCTCTTAGACATAATTTAGATGTTATGCACATTGAAAAGAATGTGTCTGATATTTTATTAGGAACTCTTTTAGATATGGATAATAGTAGGGATAATGAGAGTGGCAGAGAAGCCCTAAAGAATTTGAATATAAAACCTCATCTAGGGATCAACCCTCAAGGTTACATCCCAGGTTACATCCCACCGGCTGCATACACCATGTCTAACGAGGAGAAAGAACGATTTTTGAAAGTCTTGAAAAAGATGAAAGTTCTTGATGGATATGGATCTAATATGCAAAGATGTGTGAATCTAAAGCAACGGAAACTTATTAATATGAAAAGTCATGGCCATCATATTCTCATGAAAGATATCCTCCCGGTTGCTTTAAGGGCGTTGAATGCCACAAAAGTTATTGACTTGCTTGAGGAGCTGTCTGACTTTTTTAAAAAGATATGTTCAACTGCTATAGATACAAGAGAATTAGATACCATTCAATCAAATCTCGTTTTGACTCTTTGCAAGTTTTAAAAAGAATTTTTACCAATATATTTTACAATCATGGTTCATCTACTAATTCATTTAGTGGAAGAGGTCAGCCTAGGCGGACCGGTTCATTATAGATGGATGTATCCTTTTAAAAGGTACCTATTATTATTATTATTATTATTATTATTATTATTATTATTATTATTATTATTAATTTTTTTATTTGTATTATTTAATTTTTAAATAACAATTTTCCTTATTCTTTCACATTCACATACAAAATTGTTACTATAATTCAAGGTACTTTGCCTTTTTAAAACCTCATGTGAGCAATAAAGCGCAACCTGAAGGATCTATAGCGGAAGGTTACCTTTTGTGGGAGACAATTGCATTTTGTTTGAGATATTTAGAAAGTGTTGAAACTATGTTCAATAGACCTAGAAGGAATGAGGATGGTGTATCAAACATTGACAACTATTTGTATAACTCTGGTGGTCGTGTTGTTGGAAAGAAAGAAAATGTTTGTTTGGATGATAGAAGTTTAAAGCAAGCTCATCGCTATGTTTTACTTCATTCTGATGAACTGACCCCGGTGCTCAAGTAAGTAGCATTATGTGTTTAGTTAAAGCGTCCAATATATACTTTTTTACTAACATAAAATTTACAATTTCGATAGTGAGTTCCTAAAACTAAAAAGGCAAGAGAATGACGTTGGAGGAAGTCAAGCTAATGAATCTATTAAAAATAGTGGATAATTGATGAATTTGTAGATTGGTTGCAAAGCCAGGTCATATGCTTTTACAATTTGGGTCTTTTATTTCATATACAACTTTCTGATTCTAACTTTATTATTCTCGAATTATAGGTCCATAATTTAGATAATAGCACGATAGAAGGAAAGTTAAGAAAAGCCTTAGCCGGTGGCTTGAGTAACCACGGGAAAAGGATGAATAGTGTTATTATCAATGGTTACAATTTTGATATTGTGGATCGTGAGCGATTTCGAATAACTCAGAATTCAGGAATCATGGTGGAAGCAGAGGGTCACGAATATTATGGAAAACTCAAAGAAATTTTGGAATTAGATTATTATGGTTCTTATAAGGTTGTATTGTTTCGTTGTGATTGGGTCGATATCCGTAGGGGTATCAAAACAAATCCGAATGGAAGTGTTCGTATCATTTTCTCAAAGTTGATGCACATTGGTCGATTTTTGCGTGATGATCCATTTGTTTTCTCATCTCAAGCAAAACAAGTTGTTTATATTAAGGATGAGATACAAAAAGGGTGGTGTCATGTTGTGAAAACTAAGCCTAGGGACTTGTTTGATATACTTGAATAATTTGTTTACGACTTTTACAATTTATTATAGATTTGAGTTCATAAATTTGGATGGGTGTGTATTTTTATATTTCATTTAGTTATTCTAATTCATCAAATTTTGCATTTTGTTTACTTAATTTCTTATTTTATGGTACTAAGTAGTATTATCGTCTTGGTTTCTTATTGGTCGAATAAGAACTGAAATATAGAATTTAATTCAGATTTAAATACCAGAACTGAATTTAGAGCCGAAATCATAACTGAAATCCAGAACTAAATTCAGATCTGAATTCAAGAACTGAATTTCAGAACTTAATTCCGAACTGACTTCAGAGCTGAATTCCGAACTAAATTCATTGCTAAATTCAAGAACTGAATTCAAAGATGATCTTCCGAACTAAATTCAAAGCTGATCTTCAGAACTGAAAATCAGTTGTGGAATTCAGTTCTGAATTGCAGCTCTGAACATCAGAACTTAAATCAGAGGTGAAATTCAAAATGCTTGTGTGTGTGATTATATTTCAGAGCTTGTGTGTGTGTGTGTATCATCATATTTTGTCTTTTTGGTCAAATTTATTTCTTGTATGACTCTTCTATTTCACAATAAGTGATGTTGCTGTTTGTGATGAACCCAAAATTAATTCTGAAGTGAGTTGCAGATTTGAAGTTCAGAACTGTAATTGAACTAAGTGTTGCTGTTTAGATCTTTATATCAGTTTATTTTGTATTTCAGTTTAGATCTTTATATCGGTTTGTTTTGTATTTCAGTTTATGCCTTGTCTTTATATAAGTGTTTATATACTAATGTAGCTTATACTATGGTTTTATTAGGTAAAAGATGACTTATGGAAGCAAGAGAGAAAGGGAAATACTTGCTGCCACATCTAAGTCACATGATCCACTGTTAGCACATTCACCAATTACAACTAATGCAATACTTCATCTTCTACTGAAGTTGTTTCATAACCCACTAAAAAACAAGCTACTAAGTCACCACAGACTGAGGTACTTAAGGATGACAAATGGGGACCTTTTTCTCCACCCATTACCACTACAAAATCTGATCAACAACCACCTAATAGTTTAGGATCCATTTCGAAAAACCCTCCTGGTTCAACATCGAGTTCAGTCAAAGAAGCAGCTACATCAGGTTATCAGAAAAAATATCCAGAAAAAGTCTCACCTAATATCGCACCTAATATTTCACAATCAAGTAGACCAGACTCATCATTGAACTACCTTTCTACTTCTCATAAACCTCTCGAGCAACCTGTGAGACGAGGAATTCAGAACCTTGAGACTGGTGCTGTTAAAACTTTACCAACAGCTCCACAGACTAATCAATAACGACAAAAAAGTGGAAAAGAATAAGAAAAGATCCCAAAACAATCTAAGTCTTTATGACCAAAAGCACTTCCGGATTGGCCTCTAGACATAGATTTTGACGACAAGGAGGAGGTTCTAACCACAGGTAAATATTTCCCATTTAAATTAGTACTTTAATTTTTTAAACTGATTATTTCTTTTACCTTACTTTTTGTATTTAAATCAGATGCCAATGGTAATACTACATTAGTAAGTAGTATAATTCTATCAATTGACGTTTGGAGTAATAATGGCGTCCAATACTATGTTGAATTCATTGATCTATGCCAGCAAATTACGAAAGGTGGACATATTTTGGTTAAATTCATTAGTATGATTGCAAAGATGGAAAGTCGTTGCCCAGTTGGGGAAAAAGATTGGCATGCAATCATTGGCAAAACGTGCAACATCATAATTTAGCTTATAGAAACCAACAGAAGGGGCTTTCCATTTGTTGCTTACTGCAACACTCGAATGTACATGAGTAGAGCTTGCATTATTGGCTTTGCATTATAGGAGTGTAAGGGATATCTAATTATTATTCACTAAAATGGCCTGTCTTTTGATTCTGGCCAGAATCATAAATTCTTGCTTACACTTGTTTTTTTGTCCTTGTAGTAAATTAGCATTTGCCTTGGATGTGTCATTTCTAAATTAACGTTTTTCTTTTAGTGAAGCTTATCAATTAGATTTTAATTTTTAATAATTGTCATCCTTGGATCCTTCTATCACTGACTTTTATTTATTTATACTTCCTATCCTCCTCAAATAAGCTAGGTCTGAGACAGAGAGTAATTTTTATTATAATCTTCCTGAAAATAAGTGTCTTTCACCAAGATGAATAAATTTTTTTTTTTTTTTTGAAGAAACCAAGATGAATATAGTTTTTGCAATTCCACTTGTGCAATGTAGAATGGGATTTCTAACAGGAAGGCCGTTAATGATGAGTGTAGTCTTTTTTAGCTATTTGCAAATATGTACAATCTGTTATAGATTGGGCTTTTCATTCTTTTAAGTAAGTCGTTTCTCTAAACAAGTGTGTTTGTTTTTTTTACTGTACTTGTTGCCATGTGTTTATATTTTTTTGCCAACTTCTTAGTAGCTGGTGTAACTCAGTTAGGAGGTTGTTCTATCAATGTCCATGTTTTGTGGGTTATGGTGGCCAAAGAGAAGATATTGTGGCAAAATGCTTTTATGGAGAATCTATGGTGCTTGTGTTTATAATAGAAAATGTTAGGAGAACCACTTTGAGTGATGATGTTTATAATAGAAAATGTTTACTTAATTAGCTATTTTTGTGGGCTAAGACAGCTGGGGAATTTAAGAATTACTCCATGGGGAATACTCAACGAATATGGGCGAATGTATGATCTATTTTTTACTGTTATGAGGACAATTAATCCTCTGTAGTCTGCACTTACTGCTGCTCATTTATAAAATTACTCCCACTACTTATTTATAAAATTACTGATGTTATGAGGCCTAATTTACAGATGTTGATGCACTAACTAAGATGCTCAAGGATCCAAACGATCATTTGAAGACATACTGCTGTTATGATGCACTAACTAAAATTACTATTGTAGCTGATAAGCTTGCTTTTATGGGAAGAACAAAGTTCAAAGCAGGAGAATGTGTCCCTTTTACTTACCCTCCAGCAGACTGCTTTGACATTTATGCTACTAAAATACCTGATATGGCTCCCTAGTCTTCGGTTGATCGTTTTAATCCAGTAGCTCCTTTTGCTAACCTCAGACTACTGAAAATTTCCTAACTACCAGTCAGCTACTGCAGTATATTTGTATTACTTCATAAGTACTCTGAGTGGCTATCTTTTGCCATCAGTAACTCTATGATCTAATATATTGTGCTCCCTTTTGTGTTTTTTAATTTACAGATTTATATATGTACATTGTACATAATTAATTGGACCGAGATTAAAGTATAATGTCCGTATATTTGTCTCAAATCGATTATGAATATTGAGCCTATATTGTGTAATGTACTAATTTATACTTTGTATTTTTTTTTTTTTTTTTTTTTGTGAAGATTGGAAAAGGCAATGTAGGAGCAACAAGAGAATAGGCCGGGACACTTGAGCATCAACAAGCGACTAAATCGTCTATAAGGCCATCATCTATCTATTTTGGTTTTTAGTCTTATATTAGTGATGTATTTATTTAGGGACAAGCTACTATAATACGCGACTTTTTTTTAATAATTGTGTTGACGTTTTCTTTTATAAATTTGGTAATTAAATACGTACTCTTATTATTATTGATTAATTATTATTTTTTTCTTTTTAATCTAGTTATATAGAATATTTGTTTATTTTTATTTTAATGTTATTAATTTAATTTCATTTATGATAAATTTATATAACTATAGTGTATGTATGATGGTAATAAAAAAAACTTAAAAAAAATTCTCGACGCTTTTTAATGTCTACATATTTGCACATTTTCAAATTTCAAAGAGTTTCCCACCATACCATAGGCTGACACGAATAAACATAAGACAACAAAAAGTGTCGCTAAATTTGAGTATGAAGACAGGTAAAAGCGTCGCTAAAAAACTACACACATTTGGGATAATGCGCGAAATACATAATTTGCGACGCTTCGTATATTAGTTAGGAAACAAAAAGGCATCGATATTCTCGACGCTTTTTTATGTCCCTGAAAATTTTCGACTCACGTATTTTCGACGCATTTTAGCAGCGTCGAGAAATAATTTTTCGACGATTTTTAGCGTCGATAAAAGGCCTATAAAGCATCCAAAAACACGCTTTTTGTAGTATTATGTGGATTAGCTTTAATGTTTGATTCAATGTGCTAATTTAATATTGTAGACACCCATTTGTGTCTCCCCAAAACCAAACACGGTGATGAGTATCTTTCACGTCGAATCATAATCTAATGAAGTGAAAGTGTGGAAAGTCTAGTGTTACGGTTAGTTTTTAATTCTTTTCTTTCTCTCTGTTATTGAAAACCTATTTTAAGAAAACAGACAATCCAGTTTGGTTTGATCCATAGCAAGGGTCCAATAATAGTGTAGTTGGATCGGGCTTGAAAAGAGCTTTCCAACGATATATTATAAGCCCAATTCCGAGGAATAATGAGGAAGTTATGGCCAAATTACTAAACTGGGCCCGATTTAATATTTATGTGCGGCTTAATGATCTAGAGGAGGGCCTAATATTGATTTATCATTCCTAATGCAATTAGAATTGATTTTAGTCTTCCAGATTCTTCTAGAAGATTCTTTTAATTCCTAATTTAATTATCATCGATAAATTGACTCTAGTTTACTTTTTAGAGTTTTAATCAGAATAAAAGAAATGTTTTTAAGGAAAATACGATTTTGCCCTTTTGTACGGCTAAATTTTATCGAAATTAAGAAAACGCATGAAAACTGTTTCTAGTGCCTGACAACAGCATTAGCGCCTGGCGCTAATGTCTGGCGTTTGGCGCTAATTCGTTTTATGCTCTTCGAAACTCTGATTCGTTTTGTTATCCATCCGACTGATTTTCTCTATAAATAGCCTCCTAAAACCTCCGTTTTCGAAAATCATCAACAACTCTGTAATTCTTTTCTCTCTCTAAGCTAAAGCTTATTCTCTCTCTCTCTCTTTTCTAAACTAGCCTTTTGCACACAAAATTCCGCATTCACAAGATCTAAACACACCTAGCCCAGTTCGAAATTACCTTCGCCCTAAACGTGAAAGGTTTTAATTTTTGAGGGTTTGGTCCCAAATCTCTATTTCAATTGTTTAATTTAATTGTTTGTTGTTTATTATTTTCCTTGAAGTTACTAACGTGTGTATTTTTTTATTAGAAAGAGGTACGAGGCATCCAAGTAAGTGCTTTAATTGATTTTATTGATATTATGATATGGAAATCATGTCTAGGTTGTTATTATGATTCCTAGTATCATGTTAGGATGCTTGATATTTTGAATGACAACAATGATACCTAGTACTATGTTTAGGGTAATAACTATAATTTCTAATATTGAATATGCTTATTATGATTCCTACGATGCTTCCTCTTTTCTTTCCTAATAGCATGTTAGTATCATGTTAGGGTTAAAGTTTTGATTTTTATTGTTTGGTGACATGCTAGGGTTTGTTATTAATCTTGTTAGTATCATGCCTAGGATCTTGCTATTATAATGCTTTAACATGATGATCATGATTATTTTAATTATTATTATTATGATTATTTTTATATTATTGTTTATGATGATTATGTTTCTTGATTTTATTTATTGTTATTGCTTGATCACACCTTTTAAGAATGTTTAAAGGAAATTGGTACTTGTAATCACGCTTAATAAGATAAATAATAATCTTGTTTAGGGTAAATATGATTATAATTCAAGTGATCGTCAATAATAGTTTTGTTTGTGCATTAATATTCAACCAACATAGATAAACAGGTTTAGGGTAAACCTATTGATTGCATGTTAGTCAGAAAGCGCACATGAATACGATCAGAATAAAGTAGAGGCCTATTATTAGGGCAGGTTCAATCTCTTTTAGGTTGGATTTTTACCTTCATCCCTAAACTACCAGTCATGGTTCCAGACCTATTGGAGTTGACGATCTCCTGGATCGTTAAAGGGTGTAACTTTCACCTCGTGAACGGTTTACAAGTTCCTAAAACTTGTTGGCGACTCTTTTTCTCTATCTTCTTTCCCTTTGGACGCCACCGTACTTAAGTGTATGATCACAGTGGGGTTCAAGATAGGTGTAATGCTTGAAATATTCCCTACAGTTTTTGGCGACTCCACTGGGGAGGATTTCTATTTTAATTCCTAAAATTTATTTTGGCAATGATTTAGAATGAGTGGATGAGACTCGAAAAGTTCTAAATATTTCATGTGCGTAATTTTGATTAACATTATTGTCATATGCTTAACAAGATCTCATTGGAAAGACCATCCGTAATGAGTTAAAAAATAGGAGATTTTACACGTAGGAAATTTGAGGATTATCTTTCACAACTAGGACCGAAATAATGTTGCGCGAAACTAGAAAATTTTGTCGAGCATAGAAAGCTGCTGAGGCATGTAGGAACTAGCGTCAGAAAACAAAGTCTAGCGCCGATGATTTGACTCTGGCGCCAAGTGACATCTTCTGTCGCCAGGCGCCGAAGCCAAATCTTGGCGCCGGCCTCTGTTCGCTGGCGCCAAGTTCTTCCAATACCGAGCCAGAAATATGCGTTCTAATTTTGACCAGTTTTTAGCACTGTTTGCTCGATCCTACTTCTTGATTGAGTTTTTCTCACTTTTTTTTAAACCCATATGTGTTCTACATATGTACATAGCCCTTTAGGAATTCATGCTCCGTCTACTTGATTGAACGCTCTGTGCAATAAAAGGTACATCCGAGAATGTGGAATTCACCAAACAATGGAAGCGAGTTTCTTTTCAACTTGCGGTGTCCCATCCACTCGCGCCAACCCTTTGAGGTAAGACTTCTGCGCGGTGCATATGGACAATTTACCATGGACCCTCTTTGACCAACCCATATCCCGAACTTTAGAGAACTAGAGCCATGGTTAGGTTGCAAACTCATTGCATCATATTGTGCCTACTTGACTAATTGTGCATTATTTGTTGTGCATACTCTATGTGTTTTTTCCTAACCGTTTGTTTGACTTGTGTTAAGACTAAATAAACTGATTAATGAC